GTTTTGGACTCTGCTCCGTGCGTAATACTCCCGGCTTTCAAGGTCTTTCTTCGGAGCCCAAGTGGATATTAAGCACAACTCTGAAAGCTCTTTGTGAGTTCAGGTGCACTCTGCCACGCCGTGGTTGTCTTGGCAGAGTTCCGGCCGGGCCGCCGAATGCGAGTGCAACGCCATACTGAATTACCGATTCACCAGACAGATATGCATCGTCAAAAACGTGTCACGAGATACGAGATGCTAAGCCAAACCCCAAGTCTTGCCCGAGCCTCACAAGTAGGAATTCGACTCCAAGTAGTCTTGAACATAAGTCATTGTCACCCAGTCGATGTTATTTCTCCAACAGATACAGTTCTCAAATTCTTGGAGGAGGGCTTCCGCGGAGACGTGCTGTTGAGAAAAGGTCTCCGATCTAGCAAAACTCGAGAGCAACATTCATGCCTCCGGAGCTGTCCCTTTACATCTTCTACCACCGGGAAGTGACCATGAAATGAACAACCCGGGCCGGAACCCGGGACCCCTCTTCATTCCTTTTTGTCCTATTCCTGTCTCTCCTGTCCCTTCTCCGAAATCTAGACAAAAGAAACCCTCGTCTCGAGCTGCCTTTCAAACTATTCTCGGGATAACCCTTGCAAGCCCCATCTCGAGTCCCGGTCTTCGACCCGCGTCCCGGTGGTCTGGGAAACACACACCCCATCTCCAACGCCACGACGCCGCTGACGAAGACGAGCGCCTTTCCATTTTGTCGGAAACACTTTGACTCGCGCCCCGTGTCAGCCGGATATGCCATGACATGGCCCGCTTACCTACCTTGCTCCCCTACGAGATCTGAGGGATGCTGTCGATAGATGGTTCATGCTTGGCTAAAGAAGCTGACTGTTCGTCTTGGTCTGATTGGCTTATGGTCTCGTTGACATGAGATATTGGACCAAGTCAATTGTGGCTGAGCCACCAAGATCGGATAGCAGACAAACATCGTTCAAGGATACTCATATACGAGAACCGAAAAATCTTGATCGGATCTATAGTTCAGTTCGAGTTCATGATGCGTTGTAACTAATGCTCCGCTCTAAAAACCAAAAACCCGCTCGCGGTTCCTTCAACCCCGCCCATCGCTGGGAGCCATCCCCGAATCCTTCGCGTTGAACGTGTACGTACATGAAGCTCCAAACGACAAACAAGGCCAGGGTATATCTTCAAGGCCCACTACGTCGCCTCCCTCTATGCTGCATTGCTGGCTCAAGCCTTCGGCTCAGCTCAGCTCAGCTCAGCCACCAGATACCTGCGCCCACAGCCAACAGTGTGGCTAGTATCATCGCCCCCTGCTTAGTAGACCACAGGAACATGCTCCAGCCAACAAGGACTTCCTTCCGTCTTGCTGCCGCACGTCGTTCCCAGGCCTCCGGGTCGATGGCTACCGGGAGAACGAGGCGGGGATCCACGGCATTGGACGTGGGGGCTTCCGTCGATGAGCGGGCCAGCTCCTTCTCGGTGAGGAGGGGAACGGCAGCTCTCAGAAAAACGGCCCTGTGATCTGAGCTGCGGACTACGGGCATGGCGTCGTAGATCTTGACGTCGACCTTTTGAGGCTTGTTCTTGACCCATGAAGGGACGTCCAGGTATAAGATGCGATCCGTCCAACCAGGGTATCGGTGAGGCGCGAACACCCAAGGCACATCCTCCACACCATCGACCTTCAGGCGGGTGTCATCTTGGGGCAGGACGTTGTATTTATAGGTCGGAGGGAACTTGACTTCTGCCTCGCTCATGCCGTGCAACGTGCGTCCTGCCTGTCGTTCTCTCGTGAGCTGGTCCAAGGCGAAGAAGCGGGAGTAATGATGTTCGCTGTCGGGGTCGAGGCTGGGAAATGTCGCCATTGGCGGCGGGCTCGTTGTTGAGATGCGATAGTTGAGGTCGCCACCGACAAAAAGATGGGAGCTTGGCTTGAAGACGGATATCTCCTGTAGCCGTTCCTGAAGTGCGAGCGTTTGTGCTTGATGCTCGTCGTGCAACAAGTGCACTGCTTCATCTCTGGCACCCTCAGCCTGGCCCTCTCCATGTGTGGGAGCGGTTGGCTTATTCTTCTTCGGGTGCAGAATATCTTCCGGGTTCTCGAATGTCAGGCCACGCATGATGGTCGCCCAGTTGGCATTTCGCCTCGGCAGATTCCACTCCATTGCCGCAAGGTGCGTAGCTACGAAGGTGAGCTCCGTCTCCTTTTTCCCACCTTCGGTCGTCGTGCCCTCATACAAGACTCTGAGCGCCACAGCGCCCTTGTTGCCCATTTCTGCAGCGCCAAAGCCCACCTCCGCCTCTTGCACACGCAGGATCGACTCGGGGTTCCGCGCAAAGAGCATAATGGCCGTCATACCGATATTACGAGTCCGGATCAGGGTGTAAGGTCGCACAGGTGTAGGAGCGGTGGGCTTGACCAGTATCGTCTCATCGTCGGCTCCATCATGACTGTCGGCGTCCGAGGTGGGACTTTCGTTGGTGTATCTGGTCGCAGCGAGGTTCAGGGCTTCCTCGAAGCGCGTGAGGTACGGGCTGAGAAAGTAGCCGCCGATGAAAGAGTACGATAACGGCGCGAATTCTTGTAAGGAGCTGGTAGGAGGTAATCTGGTCAGCTTTGTTGCACCCAAGGGAGCGGCAAAACACTGCACTCACAAGACAACAACCTCTGGGAGGGGAGTCGCGCTCTGCTTGAAAGCTGTGTGGAGGTTTGACGCAAAGACGTGAGTGTCGATAAAGTTCTTGGCGCAATTGAACGTTAACATGAACAGGTCGAGCGTCGAGGGAGCCATCTTGTCGGCGGGTGCGGTGGAGTTGACGTCGACAAGGGTCGCCATCGAAGCTCTGTCGGAGGTAATAGCCGCCGATGACGATTATCGAGTTGGTGTGCTGGGATTACTCGGCTAGAGGTGGCCTACCTTGTTAGTCAGCTCTCTACCCCTCCTCTTTCCAAGAGCACAATAGGTATGACGAGCTGGGAAGTTCACGAGACAAAGTGATAAAACTGAGTGAATGTTGGGAGAGTATGAAGAAGAAGTCGAGTAGTAGATATAGGGAGAGACCATAGAGTTGGCAAGAGCGCACACGACTTTAGACCACTTGACATTGTCCCTTGTCCGTCCTCACCAAGATGGTTTGGCAGGATCGCCTGAGAAGTGTTGGTTAGGTGGGTTGCAAGTGCGGTCAACACTCACTCAGCCACGCGCTAGCTGCCCGGTAGGCTGTAGCTGCCCAGTAGCTTTCAAATGGCATTGATCAGAACGAGACAAGCTCACGCCAACTGCCTCGCTCCCAAGCTTGATTCTTGCCAGAAACTCACAGAGAGAAAGAGAGAGAGACTGCCAAATGCGACTTCATGTGCAAGCTCCAAGATGATGATTATGAAGTTAAGGAGAGGGAATGAGGGATCCTTCAGGTTGGGGAACATCCCTGACACCCCTCGACGTCCCAACACTCGTCATGTACTCACCTAAGAGAGTCAGTCCAGTTCAGCTTTGCAGATGGCAAATGTTGGTGTAGGATGGGAAACTTTTATCGTGATGCACGGCATTACTGAGTACGATAAGAATATGCCGCGATGATTCGAACATACCTATATATATGCGGATATACTTTGCACCTGACGACATCCATTTGGTACTGTTTCTCTCGTTTCATGCAGTCAGCTGGTCGACGTTCCCTGCGAAATGGAACCAAGCGAAGCCGCACCTGACCCGTTGAGCCAACCAGTCTCATGACTTGATATCTTTCTCACATCCAAGTCTACAAGTTTTCCGCAGTCACATCATGCAGATGAGTATGCCTCTTTACGCATCACAGTCATGATCGGATCCCGAGAGAATACTAGTGCTGTGGCTGTTGTAGTGGACCTGCAGCATTTACACCGCCATATTCACAAATTGCAAGAGAAGAAAAGTCGCGCGACAATGTTAAATTGAGAAACTACCATGCGTATGTTGGTTGGTTCCGCTGCCCTTCGACATGCCTACAACTACCCGTGCTCTGCCTCCACCATATGCAAACTTGCCAGGCCGGTGAAAGCCCGCGGATGATGGAGGCGCAGTGTTGAGAGTCCAAGCACCAGCGTTCTGAGGTCGACAATCCACGTTGACTGCCAAGGCAGACAAGTAGACGTTGTCAACATCCCAGAACTTTGCTAGACCGTCTCCTAGAGCCCATAATAGTTGCCAGAGACCAGGTTTGGTGACTAGTCACCTAGTTCCTAGTTTCCCCCACGTGCAATGTCGGAGTAACGAATTCCCAACCAACCGAACCGAACCAAAAGCCAAAGAAAAGATGCCGCACTCTTCCTCATTAATTTTGCAACCATCATTCCCTTGCCGTTCCTTGTCTTTGCCGACTTGATGGTCGGAGCCCTTGTCAGACAGTGTCGGCAGGCCTGATACTTCGCAAAAGTTTCTCTCTCGTGATCGACCCCTCACCTAACGACCTCCCCAGAAGCGGGCCTCGACGCGTGATTGACCAAGTGCGAAGCCTCGAATGAAAATCAACCCACAATGCGCATAATCGGAAGGAAAAGTAAGAGAAAAAGAACAGAAGGAAAAAAGGAAAAGTCCGTCGGTGAACGCAGCTCCAACGCATCGACCAGGTGCAAGGTACGAAACCGAGGCACTCAAGTTGGGGGTGGGGGAATGTCTCGCGGGGCGGCCCGACGACGGTGCCTCGCAAAGTTGAGGTACCGGAAGTGCCGTTCGAGTTCTTCCTACCATGGATATCGAACCATAGAGCTTCGGCAGCAAGGTCTACCGGGGCGTCTGTGAAATCGAGTGTCCTGTTATGAAGAATCGAGTCATTCGTGAAATCAACCCAAATATGTCGAAGAACGAAGTTGAGAATGCGTAAGGAGAATGCGACCAGTTCGCGTGGCAAGGCGTATCATCAAAGAGACCCTGCTGGTGAGCAGAACCCGTACCAATCGTGATGTCTGAGAGCCATGCCACGGAAGGGATGAAGCCAGTAAGCCGGTCTGGTCATACTCCAACGTGTTGGACAGAAAGCATGTGGTTACCGCCGTCGAGGATCACTTCGGCAGAAAGGAACTTGAACCATATGCTGGACTTGCGCCCTTCGTAGACGAGCGCAAACTAGATCATCGTCCACTAGGTCAGCATGCGTTTGTCAGCAACGGGTTCAACAGCCAGTGGTCGATGAGCTGCTTGGGTGATCAACTTACATCCTGTCACTTCCACCGACGGCACGGTTGGTATCTGGGGTGTTTACACCAGCACCAGATCCTCGTTCAATCACTTTGCGGCGCGAGCTGGGAAGGGCGTTAGGCTTATTAGCGCCAGGCTGAGGGGTCGGCTGACCAGCAGTAGCGGCGTTCGTGCGAGATGCCCGCGCCTTTTCATCCTCCTCCTGAGTGGCTCCTGCAGCCTGAGCAATTGCCTGAGCATTCTTCTGGTACTTGTAGACAGTCCAGTCGAAGACGTAGTCGTACTGGAAGCCCTCGCGGACGAAGAGATCACGGAAGATCTTGCGGAGGTAGCTGTAATCGGGCTTGTCGTCGAATCGGAGGGATCGGGTGTAGTTGAGGTAGATGGCGAATTCGTTGGGGAAGCCGCGGCAAAGGACCTCGGTCGGGGTGGTCATCTTCTTCTCCATGATGCGGTCGTATTTCTGCTTCTTGGTAGCAGCCTTAAGTCCCTGCCAGGGAAGGGATCCACGGCAGAAGTAGAGCATGACGTAGCCCAGGGACTCCATGTCGTCACGGCGAGATTGCTCTGCGAAGCTGTCAGTGGCCAGGAGGAAACGGAAAGGGGTTTGGGTGCGTGGAAAGATAACATACCGACACCCAAGTGGGTGTTGATGGAAGCATAACGGGCGGTTCCGGTAAGGTTCTTGTTCTCTCTGTAAGGGATGTGGAAGTGCGTCTTGGGGTCACGGTACTTCTTGGCCAAACCAAAGTCGATAACGTTGACCTGGTTGCCACGCTTACCAATACCCATGAGGAAGTTGTCGGGCTTGATATCACGGTGAATGAAAGACTTGGCGTGGATGTACTCGATGCGAGAAATCAGCTGATCAGCGAGAAGCAGCACGGTCTTGAGGGAGAATTTGCGGTTGCAGAAGTTGAAGAGATCCTCCAAACTGGGTCCGAGGAGGTCAAGGACCATGGCGTTGTAGTCGCACTCGGTACCGAACCAACGGACAAAGGGAATACCGACACCGCCGGCCAGGGACTTGTAGACTCTGGCCTCATACTCAAGCTGGGGGTGCTTGGCCTTGACGCTCTCGAGCTTGATGGCAATCTCCTCGCCGGAGATGATGTTGGTGCCGAGGTAAATATCACCGAAAGAACCAGAACCGATCTTGCGACCGATGCGGTACTTGTTACCGACACGAAGATCCTGCCAATTGTCGTTAGCCATGTGCAATGACAGTTGGAAGCAAGCGACTCCATCGACAGATTGGGCCCTTTCAACAAGAGCATATATAGCTCCTGGCAAGACTGTGCCCAATGTCGAACAGAACCGACCGTCGACTATCCACTTACCATTGTGGTCATCTTGACTGATGTGCTGACTCTGCACCTTTCGGATGCAGATTTTGGTTTCGTAGGTCGGGTGTCGATCGACGGGTCAGAGTTTTAATCGACAACGAAGCGATGGGCTGGGTAGAATCGAAGAATTAGTATTGATGCATGAGACAAGGGAAGGCTTCGAACTGTGCCGTTGGAACGATGGAGATATGTGAGGACGTTGTGAGAACAGGAATAAGTGGGAAAGTTGAAGAGTGGGTAGAGTTGGTCGAGGCCTTGGAAGAGAGGATTGAATGAGGCAAAGCTCGGATCCACCGCCAAAACCCACGGTCAGCCCGAGGCTAGGCTGGGCAAAACGGAGGAAGAGTGAACCCCAGACAGAGGCAGAGGGAGAGGGGTGTAGTCCGACAAGGCAACGATTGTCGACGGATTGAGGATCAAGGTAGTCGAAAATTGAGGGAATATAGCGAAAGAGGAAGAATAGGCTCACCTGTAGAGGGTTTGTACGTATGTGTTGTCGGGAGAGGTGGAAGGAGTCGTGTGTGTGTGAGAGAGAGATGGTTTGATGGTACCTGTGTGACGAAAGAGGTGAACGGGGTCAGTATGGGCTCTTGAAAGTCAAGATGAGTAGGAGGGGGGGGGGCGGATGGATTGATGGGGGCCGGGAGGGGGTAATTTGTAATTGATGCTGATGCTGATGGGAATGGAAAATGTATGCGTACCTTATCCTCAAATGCCAACGAAGCCGTGTCCAAAGTGAAGGGGACAGAGACGATGTGCTGTTCGGGCAAGAAGCCTTTGGCAATCAAGGGCTCGTGAAAGAGATCGTGGGGTGAAGAAAGGAAGAGTAAGGCAGGAAGGAGGAGGGTGAGAGAGGATGGGAAGAGGGTACCTTAATGGGATGGGAGCCCAAAAGTGGAGGCGACAAGGCAAAATGGAGAAAAGCACCACCTTCCTTCCCTCAGGCGCTCTTACCTATCTTACGGAGTACTTTAGGTACTTCTCATCTTCTCAAGGACTGGGCGACACGCGAGGGGGGAAGGAGGGCTGGCGGCGGGCAGCGGGCGGCGGACCACCTCACTGGGGCGGACAGGCGCTGGGTGCTAAATGGGACACGGAGACTGGACGGGGGAAATAGAACCAAGGAAGAAGGCACGAAGGAGACGAGGTATCCGTGGTACCTACCTTACTCCGTGGGCCGCAGTTGCGCAGGTAGGTGCCTTCCAAAGGTACCTTACCTACCTACCTTACTTACGGTAGGTACCTATCTATGTTGGGTACCTTAGATGCTCAGCCTGAGAATCTAGGTAAGTACTCCCATTGTCGAAAATCCGGTGGCAGGTACATACCCTTGCACGCCAATTCTGCCGAGAGCCGCACGTACCCTCTCCGTGCTCGTTCCCTCCAGCCCAAGGTCCGAATACCTGCCTTCTACCTGCGTTCGAGTGGCCTTCCATCCCCTCTCCCACACGGCATTACATAAGGCATCTTCCATTCATTATGCTGGACGATACGGGCAGCAACCCGACACAGCAAGCCTTCTTTTTCGGTGCCAACTTGCTGGTTCGTAGTTACCCGTCCGGCCGTCCACCCGTCCTCAACCTGGCAAGTCTCTACCGGTATTCTGACCATAGGTACTACGGAGTACCCTGTCATCATCAAGAACGTCAGCTCCAACTTGGACTATCCGTGTTGTCTATTGAACCATTCATCAAATTCAACAATCGAGCTGTCCACCTGGCTTGACACCGCCTCATGAAGCATCTCTTTGCCTCAAGATTCGTATGCCGGCTCCAGTAAACAAACTGGTCTGTGGCCTCAGCCCGCCAGCGGCCAGCATCCTGAGCTCCCGTACTTCCGCGCTTGTCGCAGATGCCATGCCCTGGTCGCTTCAGCTCACATCACCTCACCTCTCACGTCACCCCAGATAAAGAAATATCGGCACAGAAAGCGAGCCAAGTACGACATCACAAAGGCACAGCTTTGCCCAAATCCTCTTTACCAAGGCATACCGGCATACCGACACCAAGCTACATAGACCAAACACAGCCGCCGCGGCTCAACCACTACAATTGCGACACTCGTCACATCCTAACCGGTCAACCGAGCCCCGAGTACCGTACGCATAGGCTGATCTGTGGTCTGGCCAAGCACCAGCTCATCCTCATCTTGAGCCCATCTTGAAATTGGAACACCGCATTGGCCATGCAATTCAATGCAATGAACCTCTCTCCGCCGGGGTCACTGGACAACGACGGGGAAATACCTGGTCGAGACATGTAGGCCCCTCGCCAGCCCGACATGGAGTCCCACGGTCCACCCGCCCAACGTTCCACCGCTCCAAAGGGGGAAATTTCGAAGCCTGAAAACCGCTACCGCCGCCCCCAACCCTTCTCTCCAACACCCAAGAACCCTGTCTAGAATCACTACTTTCGGAAGACGAGCTTGCAGGCTTGCAGGCTTGCAGCAGTCTGGGTACTGACCCTACTCTGTACTTCCGAACTTCGTACGGAACGAACGCGAATTGAACACGCCCAAATTCTCAATGGGGGCCCTCTCAATGACACGGAATGATGCGAGAGGGGCGACACCATGACGGCGGCAAGGACCCTGAACCGACCACTCAACCCACCGTACAGATACTCTGTGAATTTTTCTTGAAAGGAAACCTGCCGATCTCCGACCTCAACGCTCTTTGCTATGGAGAGTCTGCCGCGGAACAGCTTTCAGAGCTGTAGGACATGTCTGGCACCGGTTCTTCTTCAGCATTCCCAAGTTAGGCAGGGCTTTCGTCATCGCAATAATCCCCAGATGCACCATGTAACCAGGCGGCTTCCTTTGAGATAACATACCAAACTGCAATCAGCACCGACGCAAAATATCACCTGCAGCCAACCAAGACCCATCTGTCGCCGGGCTACGGCTACGGATACACGCAGGGCGCGAACCACCACATCTTCAGGATCCTTGCCGGAACCTCCCCCCTGAAGCGATGCTTTCAGCTTCCCACGACGGACCGCAACGAGCTAAGGTACGGAGTAGAGACATCGGGCGTGCGCCCTTGCAAGTGAACCTTGTCAGATTTCTCCTCGATTGAGTCGACTCGTCTTGCCATTTTGCGTGTCAGCATCAATCTGGATTTCACCAATCTGCAACTCAAAGGCCTTTGTCATGCCAATTTCAACGGTAGCCGGCATATAAGTCCTGGACCAATATCACAACCTCCTAATTCTACGTTGCCGCATTTACCAGTAACCGCTACTAATCCCTCAGGTGACACTGCTCCCGCCAGAGTAGGATGCGCTAATCACCAACCGGCGAGAGCCTCACCGCTCTTAGTCCTCTCCCCCGCAACGAGACCACGACGCTCGAGCCCACCAGGAAAAATAACTCCAGACTGTCGGTCAGGAGACCAGTCATAAATCGGACGGTCGAGGGCACCAATGCTGCAAGATCGAGATGCCTATTTTCAGTATCCCACAGGGGCTAACCCCTCCAGCCTCAATTCGATATCATAATGCATAGGTGAAAATGGCCATACCTCAGAAGCAAGCAAGCACCTTTGGATGGCAAAATCATCGGGCTCGGAGGCATAGGTACGAGAGTCAGCACAGTACCACCTCCTTTGTCATGCAACAACAGCCTGTCGGGTGTCGCTGCTGACATCCGAGATATCAAGTTCCGATACCGAAAGGCCCCCTTGGCCATCTCCCCTTCAAACAGCAAAGGATCTCCCGCAAGAGGCAGTTACAAGGGAAGCTCTCCTCGGTCCCTCCACCCCCTCGCCTACGATGCACAACAGAGAATGAATGACCTGCAATGCAACCGCCCATCGTATCGTGAGCAGCATCTCATCTCTGGCGGTGCCGCCTTTCAGATGCGCCGTGCGCTAGAGGAGCGCTCTGTGGCGTTAGATGGGGCCAAACCCCATGGAAGCTATTCGACGTCGCCCACGTCACTCTTGTTCCAGGTCTTTCGGTCTGCCCCGAACAAGGAGCAAGTCAAATTTGAAAACCTTGATTGCAGAGCAAATTGAGCAAACAAAAAAGCATTTCAGGGCCTGATCAAGATTTTTTTTTTTTTTTTTGAGGGCCCAGTGTGGCAGCCAAAACCTGGATTTTATCCTCAGCGTGGCCGAAGCTCGCGACTCAGACGTCCGAACCGTCCGCTATTCAGCCAACTGTGTCCGAGTTGGGCACCAACCTTTGGACAGCGATCCCCAGTTCTAGTTGGCTCTCTCTCCGAGCAATTGGGCTGTATCCCCGACCCTACACTCCCTGCCTCCCGACGGTACTGCCCCGCGAGTGCTTGCCAATTGTCGGAAACTACGCATGGAGTACACAGTTCAGGATGACTTATCCCATGATGGATGCTCACAGAGATGCCATGGCCATTCGGCAACGTTTAGAGCCGCCCTCTGCCAGCATTATTCTTTGATGGCCACTTGTCATTCACCACCACTTGTAACTGAGCCACGGTCTTGGGGTCGTAACAGCACCAGCGCTTTGTTGGTCTTGAATGGGTGCAATGCTGCAATCGGCATTAACAAAATTGGGAGGCCGCGGAAAGGCAATTAAATGCCTCTTCCGAGTCCCCATATCTTATCGGCTGTCAGTTGTGAGTAAGCGTGCCTCAAACCCCGGAAGGCAGCTCCAGTGACTTGCATATCGACGTCCTAAATTAGAGACGTTCGAGAAGCGGCAAATGGTGGATAGAATTCTGGAAGCTCACCGCCGTTAGCGGCGCTATGGTGCGCCCTGGCTACATTTCGATACATTGGGCCGCACGTACGTCTCGAAACAGGAGACGGACCATCACGCCGTCTCCGTAGTGTCAGCTCAGGAATGTCACTCGTTCCTCCACAAGCCAACGGGCGTTCCCTTCGCTTTGTCCTTTGGCTAGTTGGGACGACGGAGATGCCCAGGCTTACGAAATCTAGACTGGTCCCGGCCGAAAGACCAATGTTTTACGTCTTCAGAGAAGCTGTCATTCGGATTCCAACGTCAGCAGAGCTTCTAATTCCGGGGTTCGACGCCAGCCAAACGACAAAACAACTGGATTCTGCAAGAACAGAGCCTACTAGTGTTTGGCATGTCAGTTCCATTGTTCAGCATGGGTTTGAGGCATGGATCGGCACCCGTTACCAGTCAACCGCCATTCAGAATCATAAAGGTCTGATCAAAACGGTTTGAATATGAGTTGTCGAGGCTAAGAGGCTGTTGCGTATTTGCATATTACTTGACCAACCATGAGCATACTGTTGCCGGTGCTTCCAAGACCCCCGCAGAGCCAAGCAATCGAGAGCTTACTGTGGAAGAACGCCCTTCAAGAATGAAGGCCGATGAGCTTCTGGCCAGTGCCGATCACTTTCGGGTTTCCCGCATCGGCCAATCCACCTGCAGCTTGGACGGCATCAATGGGCCCTCCGTCACATCACCGCCATTCGATCGTCTGGTCTGCCCGCCCCTTGGTTCGAATGGCTTTGAGAGGCGCTTGGCGCTGTCCTCACCGAGCATCTGCGAGTTGCCTGATCTTGCCTGCTTCCACCCATTCGACTTGAACCCTATGGTCACAAGATCTCGGCGGCTGCATGTCACGGAGCTTGGTGACAGGATGGCTCCTGTCTAACATGGTAAGGCAGGCTAAGTCGGAAGATTGATTCGCGAAAATGGAGTAAAGGAATACAAGCCATCACCGAAACGCATGGGTACTGAGGCGGTTGACGCGCGAAGCACTCACGGCGGCACTCTGAACAAAGACAAGCGCTGAAGCGGCCTCCTGAAGCTGCCTTTGGAATTCCGGTGTCTACCACAGTGTGGTCCAGCCACATCCCATGTCCGATGAATGGGCCTCGAAACGCCGTCAGACCATTTCCCCCCAAGCTCCGGGCCGCAACATAAAGCCATGAACGCCTCTGCACACACTTCCGGATCACCGGGAAGATGGAGACAGCGTGAGCACGGCCGGGGGTCCTGGCCTGGTCTGAGCCGGCCAAGTGTGCCTTTTCAACGCCGAATTTGCCTTTTGCTATCGCCGGCACCCCGGCTTTACTCAACAGCCGGATACTTACTGTCGGCTCAGCGATAACCTCGGGGCGCTTGTTTCGTTCCTTGACGCAGACGTTATCCCCATCTCCGCACAGGTGACATTTGTCAGATGACTTTCTGGGCGTAGGGAAGGGAAAAGAATGAAGTTATTCATTTGCCAGATCATCTGCCGGAGACTCCTAAGATACTGACTCGGGTCGAGCCCACCTCACACGGATCATATCTGCACCCTTGGAACTTGAGATGAACTTTGCGGCATGCGGTGCACAGGAAGGAAAAGAGAGTTTTCATTTTTGCCCTCATTTCTGTCGGGCAACGACTTGATGAGGGATTATAGCCTTGGCATAAGGTGCTCGGCGTTCACCTTATAGAGAGGGAGAGCCATACCCACCCCGATTCTAACGTCGAACTTGAGTCTTTTTTTTTTCTAAGGCCGCTTCCTTGACTTCCGTAGGACCTCGGCCTCTGCCTGGGATGGCCCTACCTTCCCCATGGACCCTGCGTCTTGGGTGCCGCGTGAACTCGGCGTGACTTACAAGCAAGGCACGAAAGTTTAAGATGCTATCGCTGATAAGAAGGGGTTATGTCATTCCGCAATGATCTTGGGTTTGTTGTCGATGACATCATGTCAGGGTCTTGAGCATCAATCCTCCTGATGGGCCTCCCGATTCCCGTTCGTCTGCGCTGGTCTATTACATGAACGTATCACCAAAGATGGTATTCTGATGGTTGTAGATGTTATAGTTTCTATATCCAGTTCGGTTGCCCCCAAGGCAAAAGGGGATAGCCATCGCCTACGTCGCACTGAATGGATCCCAGCAGATGCAAAGGGTTGGTTCAGTGATACATCAGATTTGCATTTCCTCGGCCGCCCACCGCCAGGCCAAAACCCAAAACGATATTCGCTTTGGACGCAACCTGTCGCGTCAGATCCTGAGTCGCGTGCGTGGCTTCCACTGAGCATCCCATCCTGGTGAGTTCGACGTCACTTCACGCAAGCGCGCGTCTCGCTCGGTCCAACGGCCCCGCGCCACCGGGGTAGAGTTTGTGTGTCTTAACACTAAGAAGCACCCGGCGGCTACAACTTCATCGTCACCTCATGTCCATGAACAACTTGTCTTCAGCGAAGCGTCGCTCATTCTCCCGTCGAATCAACAGAAATGTCTACGAGATGTGTTGCATCATCGACACATTGTGTTGACTGTGTTGTTTTCCATCATGGTGGTTCGGGATGAACATGGTTGTTCTAGCAGCTTGGTGGCAGTGAATGCCGCATATCCCATGTTCGCATGTGTTCACATATGTTCACACGGAGTCCGCACGTTGGGCAGCTCATCGCCCTACCCAGCTATATTCTTCTCACAATACCCCTCAGAACTTTCAAGATGGACGAGTGACCCCTTGGCTCTGTTGCGATGATTGAGAATGCGCGTACGTTGCTACACACTTGTTAGTCTCGTAGCCAACAAAGAAACACCCCAGGCAGGTTACACACGCTGAGAGGGAGCATAGCTCTGCTGCTGTGTGTAGTACTGCTGCTGCTGCTGCGCCGGGTATCCCGTTGCCGTCTGCGGTCGGTTCGGATACTGGTTATTCTGGTTTTGGTTCTGGTAGTTCTGGCTCTGATTGTGAAGGTTCTGATTTTGATTCTGAGGGTTCTGGTTCTGATACCAGTTGTAGGGTGGCCGGTAGTATTTGTTGTCCTGAAGGTAGGGCGTGATGGTCTGGTCTACGAGCTCGGTCGTCTTGGTGAGAAGCTTCCGGGCCGTGGCACTGCTGAAGAGGCGCGATTCGGATTTCGGCGGCGGGGCCTGGTAGTTTGGCCGGGTCGGGGGAGGAGGTCCAGCATAGGGCGTGAGGGCGCCAAAGCCCGACTGCGGTGTACCCGGCATGGGCGGGGAGTTGCGAGGCGGGAGTGGCGGCGGTGTCTGCGTCGGTTGCGGTTGGAACTGTTGGCTACTGTTGACGTAGGTCGGCTGGGGGATAGGGGGCGGCATGTTGTAGCCCGTGAACTGCTGTTGGAGGGGAGCAGACTGGGGGCCAACACTGTTTGGAGACCAAGGATACTGCGTCGGCGGTGGGCTCAGGGGTAGTGGCACACCGGTTGGGTTTGGTGATAGGCCTTGGGGAGGTGGCGGTGGAGGAAGCCATTGTGTCTGTGTGGGCGATGGTGAAGTGTTCGACAGGTTCATTTGAGACATTGCCTGGGTATATGAAGGTGGAGGAGAGGCGTAGGGTTGGGCCGATGAGTGCTGAGAAGCCTGGGGGATTCCCTGTGATGTTGATGGTCTCGGTGCCGAGGCTACTGGGCTGTGGACCGAAAGATTGGGCGAGGTGGCTTCTTGCTTGGCGTATGAGGGCTGCTGAGGGAAGTAGGAGCTCACGGGGAGAGTTGGCGGTAGAGCAGCCTGAACGAAGACGGGAGACACGGGGGCGGCTTGAGTGTGAGTTGGTTGAGGGTGGGGTTGAGACTGCTGCGGCTGTTGCGGCTGTTGCGGTAGTACTGAGGCGCCCGTTGGGGCTGGTGAGAGGCGGGAGGGCGCGAAGGAAGGGGATACCGGTGGCGGGGAGCCAGCGGGACGAATGCCAAAGGGAAGCGTCGGCGGGGCCCCGGTTTGTGTTCCTGGCTGGTGCTGAGGGTGCGAGTCCGGCGTGGGAATAGACGGACCTTCGGCGGGGTACGGAAGCTGCGGTACACTTGCGGCCGGAGCGGCGGGGTTGGCCGGGCTTGGGGTCCGGGAGGGACGATATTCTGCAGCCGGGGGCGGCGGCCGCGCGAGCTTGAGTGGTGCCGGTTTGAGCTGGGCCGTATCAGGGCTATCCTGCCTTGGCGGTACTGCTGCTGCAAGCTGTAAGGGCTTGGGCGTCACATCGTCTACGGTACTATTCGAGGGTCGGTTACCTTGACCACTAGACTCCTCGGTAGAACCGCTCTTGACGATGCGTAACGGCTTCACCGATAGCTTCTGTTCCTCCGGTGGGGCCGATGAGACGTCATCTTTGCTCGGTGAGGGGGAGTCACTGTTGCGAGAGGGGGGATCATCCTCAAGAAAGAACCCCCATGGGTTTGCCTGGATGAGAGGTGGCTGTGGCGGCAGCTGGACCTTCTCTTCGTCCTTTGGTTGATCCGGGTCGTCTTGTTGAAGTACAGCTGTGGCCGTGGTAGGGGATGCTTGAGGCGGCGATGTTGATGGTGATGGTGCGGTAACGGAGGAGGCAGAGGGTATCCTGTGAGGTTTCCTATGGATCTGGTTTGTAGGCTTGACCGTGACTAAGTCGTCGGCGGACATCTCGTAGGCAACGGGGCCATGTTGAGCTGTTCCGGCACTCGGCACCGGTGCGGATGTGGTAGCGTTGGACGATGACGTCGATGGTGAGGTCGGTCTCGGGACAGAGGCTGGGACTTCTAGCTCGGCGAGGAATTGCTGCTGGGCGGGGTACCGCTGCTGATGTTGCTGCTGAGGGGTCTGCTTGCGCTGAGGCGGATTTGGAGAAGTTGGCCTGGAGGCGTATTGAGGCTGTCTGGGAGGGTTGTAGTATTGCTGTTGCTGCGGTGGTTGGTATGGTTGGAATTGTTGTTGATATTGAGGTTGTGGTTGCGGTTGTGGTTGTTGGGCGTAGTATCGCTGCTGCGGCGGGTAAGGTGAGTGCGCCCGCTGTTGCTCTTGCTGTTGTTGCTGATTCGGGGGAGGTCGTTTCCCTTGGCCGGTGCCCATTGTCGCGTCTGGACTTGGCCGGCGCTGCTGCTTCTGCAATCTCATGAAGACAAAGGTTTCGATGGTGCTGTTGCTTCCCCCTCCTGAGTTTCCCTCCTGCCACTGGTTCTCCTTTTCCCTTGCTTTCTTTCCCGGAGACGCTCGAGTGCTGGATTTGAAAGATCGAGTAAGTAAGTGGAAGAAAGTGGGAAAAGGAAGAGCGAAGGATGGTTGGGATGAAAGAGCCAAGGTTTATTTTTTAGCCTTACAGATTCACCTTGGACACACACTCACACAGCCGCAGCGCCCTCTACTCTTCTCGGCTTAGCTTCTGATGATGCTGGTGCTTGGGTGCTTGGGGTTTAAGCTGTGCAGCTGCGCTGTCATCGCTCGTGTGTGTGTGCAGCCTGGAGATCCTTCTTTGCGCCCCTCCAACCCCTTGGACCACTTCCCAAAACCCCGGTTCAATCGTACCCGTCACGAGCAATGTTAATTTATTGCTGCATCTTTTTCGGGTTCGGACATCAGCCACGGCCGGCCCACCGTTAACTATCCGGTGGGGGAGGAAACTTCGCTATCGCTTAGCTTACTCAAGGGTTTTCGTTCGTCTAGGTACATTACGCAGTATGGAAGATGGAGTATGTCAATTTCAACGGGTTCCCGATGGGCCGATGGAGTTTCAACAAAGAGACGTCAGGGATTTTACACGTAAATGGCAAATGAATATCAGAAAGAAAAAGTCCCCTAGCGCTGCCGTGTGAACCTAGAGCTGGAGCCTAGAACCAACACAGCATCCCCCGGTTGATCCTACTCTGGAGTCTTGGTCCTCTTGGACTCTCCGCCCCTGGTCTCATTCTTATTACCGTTGGAGCATGGATCTCTTATT